TCCAGGACCAGGGGAACAGTTATGAGTCATGGCTGTAAAGTGATGGGAAAGATAAGCAGTGTGCTCCTCTAAGTGAGATCCCTAAAGGCAGCTCTTGCAGCTTCTAGACTGGATCACCACCAGATGCTTTCTCTTACAGCTGAGTCAAAATGGAGCAAGTGAACACAGCTATGGACAGAGCAGATGCACCAGCTGTGACAGAACCAGTTTCCTACAGGGTTTTAGTTCACTACCAACCTCTGGCACTTGCCTCTCAATCACTCATTACCATCAGGGACACCTCAATCTTCCAGTTAAACCAGGATCGCAGTAAACTGTGTCTGACCCAGCCTGTTTTACAGATCCCCTTGGCCACGCAAAGGATGAAAGCCCGTCCCTTGTGTCCTAAGGCTGGTCTGCAGCACAGCTGCAGGTACACCCACAGACCAAGCCCTCACCTGGCTTTCGCATCCTCAGGTGTGGAATCCTCCTCTGCCCGCTGCCCTGCCATGGAGTCTGATGCCACAGGGCTGCTGCTGGGACTGCTGGCTGCTGAGAGACAAAGAGCACAACCTTGGTGAAGCCTCAGAAATGTTAGGATGGAAAAAGCACCCCTTCTGCACGCTTGGCTGCTCCCCACACAGTGACAGGTGGGCTGAGTTCATTACAAAACAAACTTTTTACTTCATTGCTTTTGCTTGTCAACCCCACAGAGAAAACTGTGCAAACTCAAGTCCAAAGTCTTCCCCAGAAGTGATTTATTTGGAGGGATCCGACATGATTTCTAGCAGTCACACAGCTCAGGGAGCAGATGACAGCTACAAGTTTGTGCCGCTGAGGAAGACACAAGTGCAAGTGGCATTTCACAGTTTACTGGAAGGCACTTCCCAAATAGCTGCCACTGGGAGGAAAACAACAGATCCTCTTGCAGGGAACAAAGATTTCCTGCAGGGATTGAATCTGACCAACAGCAGCACCGTGCTCCAAGCCAGTCAGAGGCACTCATTTAACACAGATTTCTTGGACAAAAATCCTCTACCTGGAGGGCTGATCCGGTCACTGCTCTGCTGCCTCTGCAGGAATTCCTTGTAGCAAACGGAGCACATCCCGTTGGTGCGTGGGCTGCCATAGAACCCGCAGCCGGTGGTGCACAGCAGAGGCACCTGGGTTTGGTTCGTCTCCTGAGCCATCCTTTCTCCTCCAAGGTGCCAAACTGCAAAGGGGGAATAAAAAGGAGACAGCTGTTTTTTTGTGGTCCTTGAGAGCAGCTCGGCAGAGAAGGACCTGGGGGTCCTGATGGACGAGAGACTGAACATGAGCCAGCAGTGCGCTCTGGCAGCTCGAAAGGCAAATGGGATCCTGGGCTCCATCAGGAGAGGGGTGGCCAGCAGGGACAGGGAGGTGATTGTCCCTCTCTACTCGGCTCTTGTGAGGCCCCATCTGGAGTACTGTGTCCAGGTGTGGAGCCCTCAGTACAAGAAAGACATTGAGATTTTGGAAAGGGTCCAGAGGAGGGCGACTAAGATGATCAGGGGGCTGGAGCACCTCCCCTATGAGGACAGGCTGAGGGAGTTGGGCTTGTTCAGCCTGGAGAAGAGAAGGCTGCGGGGTGACCTCATTGCAGCCTATCAATACCTGAAGGGAACCTACACCCAGGAGGGGAGTAAACTCTTCAAAAGGGCTGATAACAGCAGGACGAGGGGAAATGGTTTTAAGTTGAAGGAGGGAAGATTTAGGTTGGATGTTAGGGGGAAGTTCTTTACTAGGAGAGTGGTTAGGCCCTGGAACGGGCTGCCCAGGGAGGTTGTGGATGCCCCGTCCTTGGACGTGTTTAAGGCCAGGTTGGACGGGGTCCTGGGCAACCTGATCTGAATGTGGATGTTTGGTGGCCCTGCCAGGCAGGGGGGTTGGAACTACATGATCCTTGAGGTCCCTTCCAGCCCGGGTGATTCTGTGATTTACGCTCAGAGAACTCGACTGCAGGAAGGAGCACAAAGCATCCCCAGAACGGATCCTGCACTCACAGCACAGTGCAACCCGAGTCCCTCGAGAGAAAAGACACACATGGCTTGTAAGCAGGATCCACAACCTGGCTGCCACAAAGCCTGGAAGGTCAGCAGGACCTCACTCCACAGAGCTTGCTGCACTCACTGGAGCAGAGGCTCACGTAAGACCTGAATTATCCACTCTAAACATAACAAGAAGTGCCATCGCAGTGTGACTAATGACTCCTGCAAACACTGGAGCAACAAATGCAGGTCAAACGGCCAGCATTCAGGTTAATTAGTTACCACCTGCACCCGGCGGGGCTGTTTTCATGACAAGACAGCTTTAATTTTTTCAGTTTTCAGAGGCTGATGCAAGCGATTCCAAGGGAACTCTCCATTCTGACATATTTAAGTGTTCCCTGACACGTGCTGGAGGATGAGGGGAACCAGACTGCTATATTTAGGCTGTAAGTCAGAGTAAGGCTTCTCTCCAGCTGCGAGGGGAGCTCTGAAATACCTTCCCAGGAGGAGCCTCCTTCCAAAATGCATCTTACTCTTAGGATCACACACAGCAAACCCAGGAGCTGACCCTCGCGCAGCATTTATGCGGCCACACTGCACTGCACCCTTCCAACCATAGCAGTAACTCCTGGCAACAAAAAAACACCAATTCAGAAGACAAAATCACTCAGCACCGTCCCTAGCTGATCTATTCTGCAGACAAGGCTCTGCTTCCAGGGCAGCACTGACCAGCACACCAACACCGCGGGCTGACAGCAGACAAAAGGAGCAGAGCAGCAGCATGAGCCCTTCCAGCTGCACAACAAGAGCTCTGCAGTGAGGATTTCCCCCCTCCCTTCACCCACGTTTCCTCAGGAAGTGGAGCAAGTCAGCTCCCTCATCCCAGTCCCTCTGTGTGAGCAATGTGGCTGTGGCTCTGATAGGGAACAAAGGGATGTTCACAGGTGGCTGTGGCTCGGAAGCCGCACCGGGTGTTGCTCCAGGGAGTCACCAGCAGCATTCCTCCTTTTCCCAGCACAGCAGGCACGGCCTCACAGCTGGCTCTGCTCTCTTTCACACTCCTGGAAAACTTGCTCTGCCAAGGGAACGAAGCGATGGGAACATGAGAAATAAAACCCCCCAGGAGTGCTCCTGAGGGAAGGAAGGGAATCAGCTCCGGGTTCTTCCTCCTTGTCCTCAGCTGGGTGACAGGAACCAGAGCTCTGCACTTGGGGTTTCCCCTGCACAGCTCAGGTTGGTGTTCCTGCTACCAGACCTGGAGTTCCTCCATTGAACTGACCTCTCCTTCAGCCCAAGCAGCCACAGGAGCCTGCACCACATCCAGCTCCCCCAGACTGGGGGCAAAAGCTGAAAGACAGAATCCCCATGCGTCCAGGTGGCCAACTATTGCCTGACTTTCTGAAATTGTTTCCTATTTTGAGTGGCCCCAGAGACAGAACTGGAGGATTGCTGCTACTGGATGAGTTCAGCTACCCCTGAGCCTGCAGTTCACTCACAGGTGCCAAGCAGCACGGAGCCCTGCTGCCAAACCTGATGAATCACAGAATGGTTTGAGTCGGAAGGGACCTTTAAAGACCACTTGGTCTCACTTCCTGCACGGAGCAGGGACACCCACAGCTGCATTGAGGGCTCAGAGCCCTGACATTGGGTATCTGAAGGATGGGATATCCACCACCCCTCTGGGCAGCCTGTGCCAGTGCTTCATCACCCATATTGTAAAGAACTTCCTTACACCAAGTCTAAGACTCCCCTCTTTTAGTTTGAAGCCATTTCCCCTTGTCCTATCACACAGACCCTGCTAACGAGTCCATCCCCTTGTTTCTTACAGCCCCTATAGGTACCGAGAGGCCGTTCTCAGCTCTCCCCTGAGCCTTCTCTTCTGCAGGCTGCACAGCCCCAGCTCTCAGCCTGTCCTCAGCTCATAGGGAGCTGCTCCGTTGCCAAGAACCTTTCTGTAGCACTCCTCTGCTCTCACTCCAGCAGGTCCGTGTCTCTCCTGTACAGAGCACTCCACATCCGGACGCAGTGCTCCAGGTGAGGTCTCACAGCGCAGGGCAGATCCCCTCCCTCACCCACTGCCCACGCTGCTGTGGATGCAGCCAAGGATCCAGCTGGCTTCAAGGCTGCAAGGACACACAGCGCTGGCTCACGGCCAGCTGCCACCTCCAAGAAACACCGCACCCGAGGGGAGAGAGCTGACCTCGTCCCTTCTGGCTGCTCCATCAGCCCGGAGGCAGCACCGGGCAGGGAGACTCGCTAACACCGCTCCTCGGCCGCGCTGTGTCCACTCACCACCAACGGAGCCTTCTGTCCCTTCTGTCCGCCGCTCTGCTCAGCGAGCCGTGAGCGCTCAGGGCAGTCCGAGGCAGCAGCCCCACCGCCGAGCCTCTCTGTCCCCGTCCGAGGTGCCCGCGGGTTGGCAGGCCGACGCTGTGCTGAAACCCCACCTGAAAGAAAAACCGCAAATCCACATCGCGGCCACGGCACCTCCAACCCAAACCGAGCCCGCGGTGCCCGGGGCTTCCCTGGACGCTATGGGGCCGCCAGCCGTGTGGGTCTGGCCGTGGGGAGGCCGGGCAGGGCGGTAGGAGCGCGCCCCGATCCTCTCGGCCCAGCCGGCCCCGGGGCCGAGCGCGGCTCAAGGCCGTCCCGGAGCGCTCCTCCTCCTCCTCCCCCCCCCCACCCCCCACGCCGCAGCGGGGCGCCCGATCCCGGCGAGCCGTAAAAATCGAGGCCGAGGCTTTGAGGCCTACACGGAGGCCGCGGGTTGGGGCGGAGCAGGCCGCACTCACCGGAGCTGGCGGGCGGCCGCCGGGCCGGGCCGGGCCTGGCCTGGCCGGGCCGGGGGCGGCCGCCGGGAGGCTCAGGCGGGCGGCGGGCAGGGCGAGCGGCCGGGAAACATGGCGGAACGAGGCGGCGGGACCGCGGCCCCCGAGCGCCCTCCCCCGGGGAGGGCCCGGCCGGGCGGGACGGGGTGGGAGGGGAAGGCCGGGGACCCCCGGGCGGAGGGTCTGGGCGTGGGGTGAGCCCTATGGGAGGCGGCCCGCTACAGGGGGACGCCTGGGGACACCGCTGGCTGTTGGTGTTCCTCTGTAGGGACGGGCATGGAGCCGCCCCTGCCCTGGAGATGGGGGCTGTGACGCAGCTGGGGCTGTAGGGAGCGGGTCGGGGACCTCCTGCTATGGGGCCGGGACCCCCGTCTCCTGCGGCCTGAGTGTGGCAGCCCCATAAGCTGTAGGTGCTGGGGTTCCTCAGCCGTAAGGATCTCCCCCTGCTGCTACAGGGGCTGGGGCATTGGCTGTAGGGGAGGGGAGTGAGGGTCAGCCCGTCTGTGGCAGCTGCAGGAAAGGGCTGGTGATGCTGAGCCCTTGTCACAGCTATAGGGCCAGAACACAGTGCTGAGCTATGGGGGGAGAGCTGTTCCCCCAGGTTCCCCTGTGCGTTTATGCTGTGATGCAGGGTTAATACAAAGTTTATTTGTTCCCAAACAGGTCAAGGAGCTGCTGGTGTATGGACGAAAAAGGATGTTGGGGTGCTCTGAAGACCAGCACACGCTGCAATGCTTCCGTCACACAGTGAGGAGCAGGCCAAGGAGCAACAAGCACCGGCTGCCACCGAGTTCTGTGACTTTGTCCAACACCAGCTCCCAGTTCTTGTTCTGCTTCCTCGTGAGAAGAAAGAGCACCGGAGCAGGCGAGCTCTTCCCTCTGCTGTGTTGGATAACAGCGGTCACGCTGCTCCTTAATGAGCTACACAGAGCCCTGGCAGTCTCCAGCTGCTGCTTGCAGATCATCCCTGCTGCTCTTCTCTGAACCACATTTGGGTATTGTCACAACATGGTATTGCAAGGTTTGTCTGTCTGTGAGGCTGTGCCCAGGGTGCAGCTCCTTCCTGACAGTGCTCTCCTGTTCCTGACTTTGTGGGTGCCTCCTGTGGGTGGACCTGGATAAATCCCTGGCCAGGGGTGCAGGCAAGCAGCAGAAGCCCTTGAGAAGCCACCGCTAAGCTCAAATGTTCATCTTCCCACCTTCTCCCTGCCCCAGCAACTATTAAAACATTTGTGGGTTAGCCCTAATTGGTGTGCTGGTTCAGGGTTACTGCATCTCTTCAGTATACCAAAGCCAGGCTTTGCCCTGGGGATGCTCACGGGGCTCTGAGCTCCCAGAGGCACCTTATGGGGCCGTTTCCAGCCTACAAAGGGATCTTGGTGCTGTTTGACTTATTTGCTGGCACGGCACAGGCTGAAGGACTGAACAAGTCATTCCCTGGCTCGTGTGCAAGGATTTCAGCCACGTCCCGTTGTCCTCAGGCCGCTGCATCGCAGCACAGGTGTGAATCCAGCACCCCTGGACAGCCCTTCGAGAGCAAGAGTTTGTGCTGGGTGCCTGCAGGAGCCTCCATCCCCATTGGAAGAGCTGGGTCGAGCAGCACCAGGCGCCCTCCTGCTGGGACAGACACGGATGGGTGACACCCAGAGCAGCAGCCCGAGCCCACCCAGCTACTGGGAGAGCCGGGACGGGGGACTGGTGGAGGCCACGAGCGCAGCGAGGCAGCCACCAGGTGGCACCAGGCTCCCGCTCACCCCCTCCATCTCCATCCCTTCCTGCTCTCCCTCATCACCCGCTTCCAGCCTGGGGTGCGAGCTGGGGGTCTCAGAGGGGTGGTGAGGGCACCTTGAGCAGAGCCGTGAGGCATTTCCCCAGTATGCCGACCCAGCCTGGGTCTGTGCCCTCCCTGTCCCACTCTCCCTTGTCCCCAGACGTGCTGTGGTCACCACTGTGGTCTTGCTGCTGCTGGAGCATCCTCGTCTCCCACCTGGAGCCCATCCCTGCCCGCAGAGGGGCTGCAGTCAGCCCCCTCCAAGGCCAATCTCTGGGTTATCTAATGCCTGCCACACAGCACAGAAATGTCACTCCACCTGGGGGAGCAAGGCGTGCGGGGAGGGGAGAGCTGAGAGAGCAGGGGCAGGAGAACCAGGAGCAAAACAGTATTGATTGCTAGCCAATTATCCCTGTTATCAAAGCAGCACAATTAAAGGACGAGGACAGATTTCCAAGCCTTTCCAGCTTGACTGTGCATACAGGAGCATGCACGCAAGTGCTTACAGCTGCACATGCGTGGCCCCTGCACACACACACACACACACACACAAACCCGTGTGTGCATCCTCTGCTTGGCAGCGCCTGCTGAGCTTGTTTTCCCAGCAGAGTTAATCTCCACGGCCCGCTTTCTGTGCAGCAAGATGTGCTTCCATCTGGCTCCTGCTGAGCCCAGGGGGCAGCGGCAAAGTTCTGCCCGTCCAGGAGCTGCGGCCGTGGCACCGTGGCCCTTTTGCTCTTTTCTCCCCCCCTTTCCCACCACCAAGTGCTGCACCCCAGCAGCTCTCTCAGACTGTCAGTAAAACAGGGCTCTGCTTCCCCGACCCTTTGTGGGATGTGAGGGGAACGCAGCTCTGCTCCCATCCCACCCGGAGGGAAGTGTTGGGGAGCACTAAATGTAAGCAGGGACCAAACCATGCCTCAGAACGCCTGCAGAGGACCGGTGCAGCAGCATACACTGCTGAGGAGAATGCACACAGCGTGTGCCTGCAGAGCAGGGGTGCTGCATCCCAAAGCAGGGACCTTCCCCAACCCCCTGCCCTGTGCATCCCCTCTGCCTCCTATGCTGCTCCCATCTCCCCCAGCCAACATATTGACCCAGAGCCACGCCGGCCCCTCTCGCCTCAGTGACACACATCTGGGGGAGAGAAGAAGGGGGAGAGGGCATCCAAACCCTCCCCATATGTTCCGTGGGTCAGAAACCCCTCTGTGATCCACCACCTCCTCCTCGTCCGCCGTGCACAAAGCGCTCCCTGGGGCGCCGGGAGGAAAGAGAGGACGCAGGAGCCCTTTCACAAGCTGCTCTTTGGTTGCAAACTGCTTAATTTCCTGAACAGAACGATATATTTTTGTTGTTGTTGTTGTGATGGAAGGATGGCACTTTTTGGGGGCTATTCATCGGTCGCCACAGCAACGGGGCTCCGGCAATGGGCAGCTGAGATTGCGGGCGATTAGAGACAACATGTAAAAGGTGGGAGACGCGGGGCACCTCGCGAACGGCCTCTTCCCAAATGACTCCAATTATCCTCATTATTTTCCCCGGCCCATTCTCTTCCCCGGTCTGCAGGAGATGTCATCGTTATATAAACACGGGAGAGCTGGAGGAGCGGTGCCTTCTGGTGGGGGCTGACCTGGAAAACTCGTGGTGTGGAGGATGAGACCCTCTGGAAGGAGCTGGGGGGCTGTGAGCCACTTCTTGCGACCACCGTTGCTCCTTGTGGACAGGTAATAGGGAGCCCACGGTGCATCAGTGCCATTCTGGGGGTAAAACAGAGGGAAATGGTTCACTGAAGCTGAAGCAGCCTGGAGTTGGGGCTTCCTGCAGTCCGTGGGGCTGCGCCGAAGCACGGCGGCCATAAAACTTTAATGTAGCCTGAAATATTCATGGCACTTTCGATGCCGACACGGAAATCTCACCAAACGGCCCTGAATATTTCATGGGTGGCCACGTGTTGGGATGCCGGGGGAGCTCCTGTGCCAGGGACACCCCAACCTCAGCCCCTGCGTGGGTCAGAGCCGTCCCTGCTCCTCGGCCAAGGCAAGGCTGGAAGTTGTCACCTCCTGCGGGTGATGGGAGCCACTCAGGGCCAAGAGGATTCCACAAGGATTCCACAAGGATGCCCCTCACCTGGGGACATTTGGTGCCAGGAGGTGACCGCAGGGTGGCATCCAGCTCAGATCCCCATCTCCTTCGTGTGCCTGCGTCACCCATGAGGTGCTTCCAGCCTGCTCAGGTGGCTGCAGGTCCCCAGAGCTCGCAGTGCTGGGGACAACGAGGGCACCCAGCCTTGGCTGGGGTGTGGAGCAGACCCAGAACCTGTGTGGGGACAGAGCCTGAGCCCGCAGCGCAGGGCAGGAGCCGCATCCAGTGCTGTGCTTTGCTTTTGGGAGGATGCTGGGGCCACCAAGAATGGTGTCACCCCCCCAAAGCGTTACATGAGGGATGGAAAGGGACCGAGCACCCACCCCACAGACTGCAGCCCCAGCTGCAGCACTGCCACCACCGTCCCCCCCAGCCAATGTCACATCAAATGTGATAAGCTGACAGCTCCGAGCTGTGACACTGGTGACACTGTGGGCACATCCACCATTGATTGATCCCTGCTCAGCACCTCGGATCAGATGCTCGCCCCAATCCCCCCTTTGCCGCCCATTTAGGGTCACTTTGGCTCTCTAGGAGCATTCCTTTGGGACGGCTGTCCCCCGTGTTTAGGGTTCAGTGGTGCCCCGGTGCCTTCATCCCACAGCCCTGGGGGAGAAAGAAGAGGAGGAGGAAGAGGAGGAGGGTGGAGACGCACCCGCAAGGGCAGAGCTGGGGGACGGGCTGGGAGAAGGAGTTAATTCCTACACCAAAAAGCTCTTTGCTGGCGTCTCAGCTCTAATGGAAGAGTCGTGTCGGATTAGCGGGCGGGGGGCGAGGAGCAGAGCGGGCGCCCAGCGTGCTGGGAGAGGCTGGGGAAGCCATGCGGAATGGCAGATCTGGGCCACTGTGCCAGCGCCGGGGGGGGACGAGCCGTGATGGGGACTCTGCCGCTCCTCCTGTGTCCCCCCCCCCGGCTGCATGGTGTGGGGATGGGGAGGGCTTTTGTTCCCCATCTCGCTTCTGGGTTTGGTTGGTGCTGCTCCCCATCCTTCTGCGGCATCCGTCCTCCTGCAGCACCCCCCCCTTGTGCATCATCTGTCCTTCTGCAGCATTACCTTTCTGCAGCACCCATCCCCTCTGCACAACCCATCCTTGCACAGCACCCATACTTCTCCAGCACCCTTCTGCATCACCAAACTGCATGACTGAACCTTGTGCAGCTCCCATACTCTTCCAGCATCCTCCAGCAGCACCCATCCCTCTGCAGCACCCATCTGCAGCACCCATCCCCAGATCCTTTCCCAGCACCCATCCTGCAGCACCCACCCTTCCCCACAGCACCGGCCCCACAGAGCTGCATTTCCTCCCTTCCTCTCAGCCCAGACAACACAAAGTTCACAGCATAGGAAACCCCAAACCCCCGGCACTTATGGGGCCATCTCCCCACACCTCTCCTCTCCGCTCGCTGCAATCCAACCGCAGCGCTGGGCTGCCAGAAAGTGGGTCAGGCACATTGGACACCGTGCGTTCACCACCCCGTTCCCATCCTTATCACAGCCCTCACAGTAAATAAACCTGCTGGTCTCCCCAGCAACGCGCCGCAATGGGAGCAGAGTCCAAGGCGAGCCCGGACCGAAGGGAAGAGCTGGGCTGATGGCGGGGCCAGAACCCCAAAGCCTTCAGTGCGGGGCTGGGAATGGAGTCTGCCCCATAGCTGGGGCTGCGTCCCTCCCTGTTAGCGTGGTTGGAGGGTTTAGGGCACGTCCCGGCGAAGCTGAATGGGTTTGGGGGATGTGTTGGTGTAGCTGGAGGGGTTTGGGGCACATGTTAATATAGCTGGAGGGTTTGGGGAACGTGGGAGCACGGTTGGAGGGCTTTGGGGCTGGTGTTAGAGAGGTTGGAGGGGTTTGGGGCACATGTGAGAGTGTTTGGGGCACATTGTCGTAGTTGGAGGGGTTTGGGGGTGGTGTGAGCACGGTTGGAGGGGTTTGGGGCACATTTTAGGGTGTGACATCAGGAAGGGAGCAGCATCACCCTTGGTTCAGGTTGATGGAGGTGGGTTTTCCCTGTGGGATGCTGCGGTGCCTCTGGACCAGTGGAAGCCCTCTGTGAGCTGCTCCATAATGAGGCGTTCCACTGATCCCCTCGTTATGGGGTGTGCTGCCCCACTGATCCCTTTGGGGTCCCGTACATCACTGCACACTCCCAGCCCTTGGACCTCCCAGCCTCCAGGACCCACCAACCCCCAAAGCTCCCACCTCTGGGGGGGGGGGGTTCTCACCCAAATCCCCATTGAGCATCACCACAGCGCTCCCCATCCACATTGATCCCAACCCCCCCTTCCCCACACAGGGCTCAGCCCTTTGTTTTGTTCCTTCCTATTATTTAATGCTC